GCATAAATAAAGGCTTCCTCCCAGTGCTTTATATAATCAGAGTAGATGATGTCATTGGGAGCCGGAGAGGAGAGGAGAGCAGGCTGTGAAATTACAGCCCTCTGCAGCCAGGCAGAGCCAAGTGCAAGGAGGGGCTGCACGGAGCAAGGGCTGTGCTCCTCTGTGACAGAGGCTCAGGACAGAGGGCCTGGGGGCTCAGGCTTGGAGGGGAGCTGGGGAGGGTAGAAGTAGATAATGCAAATACAGTCAGAAGCTCTCACACAGGCACAAAGTGAAAGTGGGGAGAACAGCACATCCCCCTGGCAGTGGGGCTGCCATTACAGGGGCCAGCACCCCCTTCTTCCACATACAGCCACCTATAGCTTGTTGTGGATCAGCTGGCGGGGCTGCTGGGCTTGCTCAACCCTCTTCTGCTTCAATCTCCTGGCCCATCTGTTTAGGGGCTGATGTACCTTTTCCGCAGCAGCTCCTTGCAGAGAAGAGAGGGCATCCTCGTTCTGCTTGCCCTCTGCATCCCAGAGGAACTTGCTTCTAGGCTTCTTCTGGCACCGCACAGGGGAGGAAGCAGAAGTGGCAGAGGGGCTCTGTCCTAGCCGGAGTTGCCAGGTGGAACAGGATAAAAGGTTGTCCTCAGCTCTTTGGGACAGAGGTGTGTGCTAGGCTCTGGTTTTCCAAAGCCTCTCAGGTACTTTGCTCCTTTTCTGGCCGCCCTGGTGCCCCACATTGGAATCTCAAACAGGAGTCTTCCCCCTCCCTCATCAGGCTGAGCAGGAGGGGGGCACTGAGCTGATCTCTTGGGAAAGAGGAGAGCCCCCTCCTTTCAAATCCTCCATGGATTCCTTCTTCAGCACATCCAGCGCCTACCGTGTGCTCAGGATGCTGCAGTGAGAGCCTGATTTTTTTCCAAGGGCACTTAGGCAGGAGAAGGGGCTCCAGCTTCTCCCATCTCCCCTGCAGCTAGCGTGCAAAGGCTTCGGCCTCGGCTGAAACTGGGGTTCTCCTTCTGTCGTCCTCTGTCTTCCACAGGATAAAGGCAGCGAGAGGCAGCAGCCCTTTGCGCCAAGCCTGAGTTGTTCCTCTGTTATGTAACAATATGGGCATTTAGACTTGTTTTTCCAGATATTGGCAGATGCGTCAAATATTGGCATAATCCAGTGGTTTACATGGAAAGCCGTCTGGCTCTGTCTGGAGCCTGCACAATGCTGGTATTTTCATTGAAAAAAGAGCCTGCAGCGTTGTCAAAGACACGTTGCAGCAGAGCCCAGGTAAACAAGGGGAAAAGACATTCATATCATGGCCTGACCCGTGGGATTACAGCTGTCCAGGTACAGCTCCAGGACTTGATAAGAAAGATTAATAGGTTTGTGATTGCTTTCTCTCTGAAATGGTCTTTTAGCTAAGTCTGCTGTGACGCTTCTGAGCTCTGGAATTTTATTTCTGGGTTTTACTGAAGCCACCCATCGGTGCGTCAGACCTGCCTGCGTGCTCTGTCATTTAAGAACCGATCATGGTCCGCTCGGGATGTTGGAGGTTGCGAGAGGTCAGGGACCGTGACCGGGTTAGGTTTTAAAAGTAAAAAGGCAAGGTATTGAACACTGCGGAGGGGAGAGAGCTAGGGAAGCTGTTTGATTTGATCTCTCTGAAGGAAAGCAACACGCTCGTGTGCCAGGACTGTTTGCGGGCTTGGTTGCTCTTCTCTGTCCCAGCTGCACCAGGCCAGGGAGCTCCCGAGCAGCTCCACCGGTGTCGTCCCCAGCAGCCGGAGGTGACTGCCAGGGCTGAAGGTCCTGGCTGTCCCCATCTGCACCAGCCTGCTCAGCGAGGCTGGCCCGCTGCTGTATGCTAATGTAAAGCCCTGTGCATTCCCCTCAGTTAGGCTGTGGTTGGAGATACAAATGCAGTTACGTGTGCAGTGGCGTCAAAATCCAGTGTGGCTCAGCTCTGCGTGCAAAATAAGGGGAAAATCCAACAGCAGCACAGAAGTGATTGCTTCGGTCAAACCTCTTTCAAACCTGCCTTGGCTCAGCCAACGCCACCTGCCCCTGCCGTGTGCCGGTTGCCCAAGCCGTGCTATCTGCCGTCGTGAGCGTGTCAGCTTGTGCTCACACCCTCTGTCGCAGGCAGGTGTCCCCTCCTGATGCCTGTGTGCCGGCAGAGGCCATCACCCCTGCTGCAGGCCACGGCCTTTGGCGACCGGCCAGCAGAGCCGCTGGCAGGGGAGGCTTCTCTGAAAACCATCTGCGTGAGCTTGGGCCAATCTTCCGGGTGCTGAGAGCCAATGTGAGGATCCAGAACTGGGGGAGTGTCCCCTTTGGGGGGACACATGCTAGGGAAGTAACGCTCCGGCAGCTTTCAAGTGTCCTCGTGAGGACAGACCCTCTGACTGCTTTGCCCTCTCCCCGCGCTTGTCAGGGCCTGCAGAGCGCAGGAACCTTCTTCAATCCACCGTGGTCCTGGGGCACAACGGGAAGTGTTTCAGTGTCCAGGGTTTTATTATGTGGCTGGATCTCTGCATATAGCTTTCAGGTGCTTCACACGGTTGATCTCATCGAGTCTGCACATAATCTAGCTTTAGACGTGGCAGATCAGTGCCATCCTTTTAACTGCTGTCTCAGCAGTGCAGCCAGTGCTCGCTCCTGCCCGACGCTGATTGCTGGTTCCAGGAATCGCAGTTCCTGGTGCAGCGCCTTCCCCGGTTCCTGGTAAAACCTCCAGTGCTGAGACTCAGCCCAGAGCTCAGGCTGTTAGATGCGTTGTCCATTTCTCTCTACATTCAGGAGTGGACTGTGATATGTTTGACACTGGTTAGGTGTTGATTCCCCAAACTTTTTGTTTTCTGTTGCACAAATAATTCAGTCTTCACCGTGGGCTGGGAGCTGCCCTTGCCCACCAGGGCAGGGGGTAGTCTGCAGTCCGTACTCTGTAACAAGTTCAGTGGAACCAGCCCTGCTCCTCAGCCCCCACATCTGTGCACACATCTTTAGCTCTGCTTGGGCTTCATTTTTAAGTTGGGCTGATCCCATAGGTGAGGTGTAGTTGGCACCCATACTCGCACTGTGAAGAGAGACGTGCTGCTCTGTGCTGCAGCTTGGTGGCTGTGCTCTGACAGCTCTGACTCGGTGACTTGCCTCTGTTCAGGAAATCTGTGGCACAGCCAAAAATGGGTTCAAAACCCAGAATGTCTTTAACCACAAGATCTTCCTCCTCTTCCTTTCTCTAGCTGCAAGAAGTCAGTGTCCAGTCTCCCATGGGATGACTTGAACTATAGTGCCAGTGTGAACCAGCAATGCTTTTTCATTGCTGGCCCTACGGGTCATCATAGGACATTGGGCAAACATCTGTAGCAGGTGCATACAACTCCTGTTGATCAAGCTTTACGTTGAAAATGGGCTTCCAGGTAGAAAAAATCCCCCCGTGTCAACCATATGGGTTTAATGTCAGTGGGGCTTGCACTAGAGCAAGCTGAGAAGTGAAGGATGAGGCTGATCTGGTTACTATTTTTTCAGTTTGATTTTTGGATTACGAGTTCCCTTTCCCCACCCCTTCAGTTGTTAATATTTAATGAAAAACACGTGTTCTTCAAGGCCCTTGCTGGTCATACGCAGCCCTGTGGCTGTTCTTGAGACAGAATGATGGACCCTTTGTAAAGAGATTTATAATAGAAACAGTGAGGAGCTCACAGCTACAGCGCCGCTAGTGAACACTCCCCTGTGCTGACAGTTCATCAGCAAAACCCCTGACCCTTCCACCCTTAATCATCCTTGCTTGTCACTGACATAATTGCCTGATTACAGACTCCTCTCCCCCACCCCTTTCAAACTGGGTGCAATAGTGAATTTGAAAAACAAATGGAAATGAACTATCCATGCTCTTCCCCCACCACCCCCACCCACTCC